CTGCCTCCTGCCTCCTGCAAGTGAAGTGCCTGGGAAGTCCCTATCAACTACCTCCTGACTACCTGCAGGGCAGGCCAGTCTTTTATAGTGCCAGCCCGTCCAGGAGGCTGCTCTTGCCAATGCCAAAACGTGCCAGACCCTGGCGTTGAAGYTCAAACAAAGGTTGTCTTGAAAACAGGCCCAAAATGGCCTGTGCTAAAACCCTGGTCTGGTGCCTAAGTTTCAGGGCAGGTCGACTTTATGAGGGCCTGAAAATGGCCCTCATTTTCAGGCTTTTAGGCTGAAACGACACAGGGCCTGTAGGCCCTCGTTTTCAGGCCTTTAGGCTGAAACGACACAGGGCCTGTAGGCCCTCGTTTTCAGGCTTTTAGGCTGAAACGACACAGGGCCTGTAGGCCCTTGTTTTCAGGCTTTTAGGCTGAAACGACACAGGGCATGTAGGGCCCTGATTTTCCGTCTGGTCGGGCCCTGCAGGCCCGTGTGGCTGCGCAGTATGCCACACCCCCCCCTCCTTGAAAGACCGGGCTTACCTGTGAGGGTGAAGCTGCCTGTCGGAGGGAGGGACCAAAGTCTGGGTGGGAGGGGCAGGTTGTAAGGCTTCCTTAGCTGGTCTTCGTCGCTCATAGTCGGCATAGATCAGCGGTGCAGATGCTTGCAAATCTGCTCGTAACTTGGTGTCCAAAATGTCGAAGGACACGGCCTCGCTTGCATGCGGGGCGAAGTACACGGGGACGGAATCAATGCACCGGTTGATGGACTTGTGCGTGTGACCGTCGGCCAATGTGACTTGAGTGGGCTGCGACTTCTTCCGAACACGTGGCCCAAGGCCAACGTGTACCATGAAGTGTTGGCTCATATTGTTGCGAGTAGCGCCGCAATAGATCAAAGCGCTGCAGGTCACTTCTCCGACCTGAATGCGTATGTACAGCAATGGTGCGTCGTTGGTGTTGTACCGTTGTGTCTTGAACTCGCGGTCAATCTTCACAAGGTAGTCGCGAAGGTCGACAACCTCTACTCCGGCGTCCATCAACGGAGTTGGTACTGCAGTGTGCAAGTAATCCCGCAATTGTGCCATGAGCACTATGCAATGCGGTTTCGACAATCGACCGGACGGGGGAAGGGGCATCCATTGGAAGCGTCAACAGGTCGGGCTCATCAAGTCTTGACCATGACGTCGAATCCCCGGCGAAAGTTGGCGGCGAAGCTGCCGAATCGGTTGCCGATGGTGGTGAAACCGTGCATGCGGTGAATTGTTGCACGTGGAGTGGTTGGTCCAACGGTGGTACCAAGTGGACAGCGTAATCCTTGTAAGATTACCGAGGACTTGCGACATGCGCCTCCTCCCCAGATGTGTAGGAAGCCGCTAGCAAGACGGCCGAATCTGGCGGAGTGATGGTGGAGTCGCCTCCCGCACAGCTCAGTTTCCCGAGCTGTGGTACTGGCTGTCCATTTCCAGCCGGTGATGCGGTTTTCGCCTTCCCTTTTCCCCGGGAGTTGTTGTTGCTTCGCGGCTGGACGGTGGCCACCTGATCTCCCTCACATGATGCTGAGGTGGCTGCCGGGTCTTCCACAATGTTGTCCGGTTGGACTGCAGCGACTGGCTGCGGACGCGGACCAAATCTTCCTTTCTCCACATGGGCTGGCTGCCACGCTAACTTCTCTTGTGCATGCCCAATGGTGAACCCGTCATGGTGGCGGGGCCCTGTTGACATGGTACTGCTGATGTGGCACTGCTGCTGACGTGGCACTGCTGCTGACGTGGCACTGCTGCTGACGTGGCACTGCTGCTGTTGTGGCACTGCTGATGTGGCACTTACCAAACCGGGAATGCAGGCAAAGGGTTGGGTGGGAGGGAAAATGCAGGAAGGTAACCAACCACACTGTACTTCCCTCCCGGTCCTAATCAACAGACTTAAAAAACAAAAAAAACAAAAAAGAAGAGGATCCCTCCCCCCCTTTTTTTCTTTTTTTTTGAAAACCTGTCGATTTGATATTAGTGAGGCATTTTGCGGAGGAGTGCTAAGAGTAAGATCTAGGCAAGGCTTCCCAAAATTTCGGCTTTCAAAAACAATTTTACGATTGTGAAAACTTTTGTGCGAAAATAGGATAGAGATTCGATTTTCAGAAAAGAATAAATCCAGTTTCCGAGAATATGACAACCTCCTATTCTGCCTAGCAAACGAAATGCTGAAAGGCTTCGCATAATTTCGGCTTTCAGAAACCAAATTTTTGAGAAATAGAATGCAGATTCGATTTTCAGAAAAGAATAAATCCAGTTTCCCAGAATATGACAACCTCTGTCGTTCTCCTAATATGCCTAGAAAAATGAGATGCTAACATCAGAAATTTTCGGCTATAAATGCTAATATCAGAAATTTCCGGATGCTAATATCAGAGAAACGAAATGCTACTATCAGAAATTTTCAGATATTTGTTGCGTGAAAACGAAATGTTAATATCAGAAATTTTCAGATAAAACGAAATGCTACTATCAGAAATTTTCAGGTATTTGTTGCGAGAAAGACAGGAAAAATAAAATAAAATTGCCGGCATTCAACGGGATCCTACTTGATTCAACCAATCAACCAATCGTCAAACTGTCAATCGATTAATACTCAAGCAGGCTCCTTGATTGAGAGGTCCGCTCCGATACCAAACTGTCGCGTACCGGAACGGTACAGACCAGAACAAGAAGCGACCTCTCTCACATAGTACAAGATAGCGCAGCGGAAGGCTAATATACCAATGATCAGACCAATGAATGTCGCAATGCAGACCAAACATACATCATCATCATTCCGTGGTGTGAAAGGGGCTGGCGCTCGCACAGGAAGAGTGCGCCAGTCCCCAGCGATACACAGACGAAGAAGAAGGGGGGTTAGACGAAGAAGAGGGGAAGATGGGAATGTCGTCAACACCAAGTCTTCGGTACAGGTCCCAAATAATACCTCGTCCAATGTCTCAATCCCAATGTCGAGTCTGGATCCAAATGTCGTCAAGTCCCAAAGTCACCAATCTCTCTCTCTCTCTCTCTCGTAGTCTGCAGATACTGAGAAGTTAGGTAGCGAGAGGGTGAGGGAGAGATGGTGGACTTAGAAGAGGAAGAAGAAGAATCTCTCTCTCTCTCTCAGTCCAGTACTAACCTGTGAAGGTGGCGCCTTGTTGCAGGTACATCGAAGACGAAGCTGGAGCTATGGCGCCACAGGTAAGTTTCCCTGGCCTCCGCCAACCATCTCTCTCTCTCTCCAACGCTACTCTAGCTCCTAATAGCGCCCAGCGCTGAAGACTACTGCTAACACTACTACTACTACTGCAGCGCTCCTCCAGAGTGCTGCTGCAGAATCCTGAAGACTGCCTCCTGCCTCCTGCCTCCTGCAAGTGAAGTGCCTGGGAAGTCCCTATCAACTACCTCCTGACTACCTGCAGGGCAGGCCAGTCTTTTATAGTGCCAGCCCGTCCAGGAGGCTGCTCTTGCCAATGCCAAAACGTGCCAGACCCTGGCGTTGAAG